CTCAAAAGTTCATGCGCATGGGAGTCATCCCTCCCCCGCTCGCCTTTTTCCCATTCAGTGGGGTGGGTGCTATCTTTTTCTTTTTAATAAACGCTTCAAAACTGACTCACATTCATAATTGGTCGTTCGACCTCGCTTTCAGCTTTCATTTCTGCCGCTTGATCTCCTACGCTTGCCCCGGTCAAGGTCACTAAGTCCATTTGGTCTCACAGCACAGAGAAGTGTCGGAACGAAGAGGCGCCTCAATTCTCCGGCATTTCACCCTCAAAGAGGCAACCTCTTATAAGTTACATGGCCAGGGTCCCTTCGCCGGGCCCCTGGGGGGGTAAGTGAGCCTGCACACCCCCTCCTTCAGCTGGAGCACAGCTTCACCCCCGGAAGGTCCAGGAGGTGGGTCTGCTAGCGCGCCGCCATAAACCGGAAGTCCTGGATGCAGTATCTAAATGGGGTGGTGGGCTTCATACATGAACACACATGAAACTGCCTTATACTGAATCAGACCGTTGGTCCATTAAGGTCAGTATTGTCTACTCAGACTGGCAGTGGCTCTCCTTTCACCTGGGGATTGAACCTGTGACCTTCTGCATGCCAAGCAGATACTCTACCACTGAGCTACAGTCCCTCCCTTTGTAGATCCAATATTCCTTTCTCTTCTGATGCTTTGTACTGGGGACCTTTGGCAGGTCTCTACTTCTTAAGCACCCTTTATGTGATACAAATGTCAGCTCTCATCTACGTGCAGGAGTAATGTGTTAGACATATGCCATCAAATACTTTCTATATATGTGCTGGGCTTCCCAGCGTCTGTGCACTCTACAGAGGATAAAGCAATCAGTGTAGGTTCTATATAATAATTCTGTAATGTTGAAGTGTCCCTAATTCGGTCAGATTTGTCTTTCATCTCCCTAAGCCTCTATCTGAAGAGAAAGACTCTAAACAAGTTTTAAAGAGTAATCACGATGAACACTTTTGGGTGAATCTACAGGAATTATTTTTAAATTGATACCCGGTCACTATTTGAATGCAGGGCTACAGCCCTCTGCTGCCACCTGCTGCCAGCTTTCGTTTCCCATTTATATCCTCAAGATGGCAAGGGAGAGGGAGAGGGAGAGAGAAACATCTAAGATAGCAAATCAGAAACAAAATTAACATACCACTGAAATATTTCAATATGGGTGTGCCTATACCCCCCAAATAGATCCACTTTCTGACCAAATCAAATGACAGGGGCAAGGGTTTGCTTTGCAGTACTGTAATATACTGAAATAATGGAAAGTCAAAACTATTCTTAGCCCAGCAGCCCAGTGGTCTTGTGTGGCTGCAGTGCACCCATATTGAAGTAAAGTCAGGATCATATCAGGGAGAACTAAAGCAACATTTTAGCCTACCATCTCTGAATCTCTACAAAAGTTACCTGTCACTTTTATTATTTAAAAACAAGCAGGAAAATAACTGCTATTTTAAACCTCTCTGAGAAGGTTATCCTATTATATTACAATGCAGTAACAGCAGATATCAGCCACGCACTATTAACATAAAATGCTCCAAATGTTAAAAACAGAAACAGAAAAGCAGTTTAAAAGCAACAAGAAATTACAGCTGTCTTTTTAAAAGGGCAACATTCTGAACAGCTTTAGATTATATTTCTGGAGAAGTTTTAGTTCTGAAAACGTAGGAAAAAACATACTGGTATGTTTACATGCCACTCTGGTATCTTGTTTAAAAAGGGCAATTTGTTATTTCGTCTTGAATAAAAGTGATAGTGGAAATCACCATGCCAGCCAAACCCATGCTGTCATAGTGCAGTCTCATATAAAGGACATAACAACACTTTAGAAGGATAGCTGTAATGAAAGACCTCCAGTTGCTTATCTCACACGTACATACCTACACTTTCTTATTTCTTATTTCGCCCTTATTTCTTATACCGCCCTAACCCCCGTTGGAGGTCTCTGGGCGGTTTACAGAGAGGGTGCTAATCACATTTACAAGCCAAGAATCATTAAGAACATAAGAAGAGCCTTGATGGATCAGACCAATGGTCCATCTTGTTCAGTATCCAGTTTCTAGGGGAGGAGCCGTGGCTGGGTGGCATGTCCAGTTAAAAGGTGATGTGATAGGACCTGGAGAGCAGCTGCCAATCTAAGCAGACAATACTGATTTTAGGGGAGGGGCTGTTGCTCAGTGGCAGAGCATCTGCTTGACATGGAAAAAGTCCCAGGTGCAATCCCCAGCATCTCCAGTTGAAAGACTGCGGTAGTCGGTAATGCGAAAGACCTCTACTAGAGACCCTGGAAAGCTGCTGCCAGTCTGAGTAGACAATACTGACTCTGAAGGACCAATGATCTGATTCATAAGGCAGCTTCATCATATGTGTTCTTATGGTGGACCAGATACCCCTGAAGGCCCACAAGCAAAGGCACAGAGGCCAAAGCATCCCTATGTTCTGCTCCCCTCACCAGCAACTACCATTCAGAGATATAGTACCTTCAGACATGGAGATCCCCTCAGCCACTGGTGGCTAATAGCCATTGCTGGACCTATCCACCATTATTTTCTCTAATCCTCTTCTACATCCCTCTAAGCTAATAGCCATAATTACATCTCACCAACTCACACAAGATTTTTGCTGTGCATTGGAATTCTATCATGCAAAGCACATCAGTCTATAGACAAAGAGAGTTTACTGTAGACCAGTGGTTTTGCTACATTAACAAAGACCTCACCATAATCAATTCAACAGCAATTCCAAATCCTGCTCTTTGGATACTATTTTCATTAAATAACTATGCATTCTTTTTTGCCTTATTGTATTTATAGACTTATTTAGGGATATCTCTTTGCCCAAGAGTATGCTTACAAAATTGAGTGAAAGAAAATAACAAAGGAAATATTTGTGCTGGACACAACAAACATGTTTTTAGTCAAAGTATGTGTATGCATATGGCCATCTTGAAGTAGGAAGCCAACAAGGAAACTCTACGATACTGGATTTTATTTCCAATTAATGGTCTGATACAAGGCAATTGGGGTCAGTAAAGAAAAAGAAAATTACACTTAAACCAGGTTTCAAGGGTGACTCAAGGTTCTATCTGAAAACACACCACATGTACAAATAGCAGCTTTACATTATGATTATTGTGTCCACCTAAAAATAGAAAGATGGTGTGTGAAAAGTCAAGGTGCAAATGTCGTCATAACAAGTGAGTCCTTCTCACCTTCTTTTTTCTTTGACACTGCATAGATGGTTGTGTTGCTTTCTATTCACAGAGGAACTGAAGAAGCTGGAACAAGAAAGGCAAGCCCTAGAAGCTACCATCAAAGAGAGTGAATTTGAAGAAGGAAACTATGGTATCCGTGGATTCTTCAGAAAAGCCACCAAGCTCAACAGGACAAAGAGGGCATCCAGAAAGGGCAAGTTCTGAACCTGAGGGGGGGGGAAGGAGTTGAATGGTCAGCAGGGCTACAGCCTTATCCTCCCAACACACCTCCCCCAGTCTGGCTACGAAAATTGCACAGGCCTTTAAAGGGATGGTCACAATTTGGCAGGTTATGCCTTCCTTTGAAAGCAAGGCAACTTCCTAACTTCTAAGCAGCTACTGTGTATTTTAGGTTTTAAAAAGCAGGGGTATGTTACCTGATATGGACAACAAGAGATAAGGGCTGCTTAGGTTTTTCTTCAATACATAGCTATAATAGTTTTGAGCAGGGCTTTTTTGGTAGAAAAAGCCCAGCAGGAACTCATTAGCATAATAGGCCACACCCAATAGCATAAACTCATTAGCATATTAGGCAACACCCCAAACAGCACAGCTCATTAGCATATTAGGCCACACCCCAGTTACCAGAGGTCATCCAGCCACACCCTCCTTTTGCTTCTTATTCTGTTTACTTTGTTTATTGTCAAAACCCAGGGCTTTTTTTGTAGCAGGACTTCTTTGCATGTTAGGCCACACACCCCTAATGTAGCCAATCCTAATGAGTTCCTGCTGGGCGTGGCCAACTCGGAAGCCAGGCAGAACTCCGTTCCTGTGCGTTCCTGCCCAAAAATAGCCCTGGTTTTGAGATGACTAATGAGGTTCAGCACAGCCTCTACTGGCAGAACATTTTAAAATTCCTTTTAAAACCTCATATTTTCCTCAGTCAGGTATAATTATTTTTTTAAGTTCTGCCTGTACGGTAGAGCCAAATGCAATGCAAGGCATGTTATGTCAGAAACACTGTTTTTCTAGAGCTTTTTGTAAACATTAAACTGCAGATCAAAGTGATGATTAGCTTCCAGTGAAATTTGTAGCCACAACAGACAGGACTAGGATGACAACTAGCTTCTAAAAGGGCATTCTCAGAACACAGAATAATCAAAATAGAGAACTTTAAACACTAGTATGGAAATTAAGTAGGATTTGTGTGTGTGTGTATGCATATTTTGTTTTATAACAGTTTTTTAAAACTGGATTTTATCATTTGCCAATAGCATCTTGATTTGGGTTGAATCACTGACAAACAAAGAAATGTAATGCCAGGGATTCATCCCAGATGCTAGCTTCCTACCTTTCAGGTTACGTTCTCTACCTCACACCTCACCATCAGGTGAACATCAGAGTAGCATATATTGCCAACATATATCATCTTATAGCCTTTTTAAAAAAACAAAAACAAGAAACCACCTGACCAAATCTAGTAAAAAATCATGGCAAGTTACAAAAGATATTGGTTGCCACTCACTTTCCCTAAATTCCATGTTTCCTCCCACTCACCTTTCATTTTCCTCTTGCACAGAGCAGGCATGGAACACCCTTTGCTCTTGAACCTGAAAATACATGATCAACAGCATACTACAAAATACCCATCCTAAATCCTTGCAACACTCACATGCTTAAGTATGCACATCTCGCTGCAATCAATAAATTACAAGATTGAAATTGTGATGTGGAACTCACTTTCCAAGATTGTGCAGAAAGGCCCTGACTGTATTCTCTCACTCGCTCTCATTTCAGCCAGCAGCATTAACACAATCTCTTCCATACACGTGGGGGAGTTCAATCAACGGCTGCTCGAAGTTAGCACTCAGTTTAAAAAGAAGCAGGGGAAAGGCACCATTGATGTCTGGTGGCTGTTTGATGATGGAGGTAAGCCACTCAAAAGAAAAAACCTGTTCAGCCAATGGAGGAAAAGAGAATAATTTAAATATTGGCTAAAAGGACTTAACATGACAAAACGTTAGGGGGATTCATAATTATACTAAATAATAAAAGTAGTCTACTTGTTATAACACAGTGTTCTAATTGGGCTTTTCTTGCATATATTTGATTTAATTTGTTCAACCAGGGCTAATTCTTTTAATTCCCTATATCCTCACTCTTCGAAAAAAGTGGAAAGATTGTAAATTAAGGATCTTTACTGGTGGAAAAGTTACTCGCCTTGAAGAGGAGAAGCTAATGTAAGTAGACTTTGCATCCTCCCCCCTCACCACCCAAACAGAGTTCATACGCTTCTATTGCTTAGTCTTTGCATATAGTGCAGGTGGAAGAAATTGATAGGACTAATAGTATTATCAACTCTCACTACCTAGAAATTAACTAAGATAATATATGTGTGAATACTCTAAAACATTATATAAATACTTATGAGCAATATCACATAACCCTGTGCATTCTTATTTATTTATTAATTTATATACTGCCCTCCCCATGAGCAGACTCAGGGCGGTTTACATCAATTATAGTATAATACCATTAAAACAATCATTTAATAACAACTTACAGATTTTATTGTAAAACGTCTTAACAGTTTTTATTGTAAAATATTTTCACCCGCTTACAAAATTCCTTGTCTGCTATTTTAGCAGTACTGACCGCTGATGTACGCTAACAGCAATGCTAAATAGGGGTTGCTCAGCTCTTTTCAGTACTAGGAAATGTTGGTGGAAAGTTACATGATCTTGGAAAAAAATTAGACCGCTTCTTGTCATGTGAAGCTCCTCAAAGCTGCAGATTCTGGTGTATTTCCCTGGCAATTTCTCCAGTATTTAATTTTCAGCTAAACCAATTAGCTTACACTTTTCATACTCACAGAACTCTATAAATGAGAAGCCCTAATTAAAGCACTTCTGATAGATCTGAATATTTAATTAACTTAGTTTAACAAGGCTCACAGAGCGACCCTAAGTGGAGTTAAACCCTCCTCAGCCCAGTGGACTTAAAAGGGTGTGACTCTACTTAGGATGGCAGTGCCAGTTGCTTTTGTTGTATATCAAACTATTGATTAATGACACTTTAAAAATGCCCATCCCCTTTCCTTTGGTTTTCAGGATGGCTTCACTTTTAAATAAATTCAGAATAAAATTTGCTGACATCCATATAATTGGTGACATCAATATGAAACCCAACAAAGAGAGGTAAGAGTTGCTTCAGAAATAAATTATATTTTAAAACAGGAACTGAAATGAATGAAAATATGATTCACTTATTGTAATTATTTTCAACCTGAATCAGGTTTGGTCCCAAATGTCAAAGTGAGGTTAGACTCTTTCAAAGGGGATTCTTTGAACTGTATGCCCAGTGCATGTGGATTGGATTTTGAATTTCAGACAGCACTGCATTTTCCTATAGTACCCACCATTTTGTTGTTTTGCACTATATTAATATATTGAAAAAATTCTTCAGTTTCAAAATATATAGAAACAGGCAGGAAAAATAAAATGATTCATTACAAAGCACTACAAACAGTTCAGACAGCACCTTTTGGGACTCAGAAGTGCAACTATACAACAAAACCTGAAGAAAAGTGGTTTCACAAACAGCAGATCAAACCTTCATAAAACAATGAGACAACAATCCTTGTCCTTGTAAGACATCTGAAATTAAAAAGTAAACCATTCACCATCAGAATCAGCAACCATTTTAAATGCCTGCTTGGCAGAAATGCACCCCATTTTCCAGGCTTTTTTGCACTCTTATTTTTGTTGCTTGTGTGCCCTATTGCACTGTTGTGTTTTCCCCCTTTTTAGCACTTCTTTTGCTCCCTCTAGTTTTTGCTTTTATATTACACTAGGAACAGAGCCTGTTGTATAAAAGCAATACAACGAGCTCTAGAAAGAGCCCCCCCACAGCAGGCGTGCCAGGGCCAGGCGTGGGGAGAGCAGGGCACTGCTGCTACCGGTGCTGCCCCCCCACAGCAGGCGTGCCAGGGCCAGGTGCGGGGAAAGCAGGGCGCTGCTGCTGCCGGTGCCACCTCCTCCTCCAGGCGGTCTTGGCCTCTTCCGAGTGCACCACGGCAAAGAGGCGAATGCCGTTACCTGGCATGTATTCTGCCACTCCTCCGCCATTGAGAGTGCCACCTCTCGCTTTCTGGCCACACGTTCCTGGGTGCACGTCAGTGACCACCAGGCTTCTGCCACTCTGGAGAGGCCTGCTCAGGCCAGCCTGTGCACTCAGAGCCTTTGTCTCTCCGGGCTGAGCGGGGTTGACTCCTGCCCACCGCCTTGGAGAGACCTCTCGCACAACACTGAGGCCGAGATGCTGGCCGCCCCTTCTGTGGGCGGGACTCCAGCAACGCAGCTACTGGATTGGCACACCATTGGAGTAACAGGTCAGAGAGCCAATGCTGTGGGAGCATGTGGAACAGAATTATATATAAGGAGAGAATTGTTGTAGCTCCTGCATCTTTCTATGCGGAAGAGCACTCCATCGGATACCAAAACAGATTAATGATCCCATCTAAAAATGAATTAAGAGAGCAAAGCTGCAGTTCATAACTCAACGCACCCCTAAAAAACCCTAGGAGCTGAAGACAATTACTTTGTCAAGGGAATAACTATCTTTAAGTGAATAAGGTGGTTCTAGGCTGATCTTGCTTTAGTTACTTAATAAGCTTACAGAAAGCCTAAAAAGAAAACTTGCTTCATTGGGAACATCCTTGCTTCAAGAAAAAGTAATCTCTTTGTTCCTTTAGGAAAACAAGCAAAACAAACATAGGAGATATTCATCCTAATGTTCCAGAAGCTAAACACTATCCAAAGAAAAACAGACTTGATTTTTCCTTTTTAATAACCTACATGAGTACTGACATGGATATGCAGATGAACCTTGCTCCTGTCACACAAAACATGAAATTGTCATAATCATAAATAATAACTGACATACAACTATTAAAACAACTCCAAAACTCATTTTGGCATGGAAAAGAGTGTCCTTTATTCATCACGGGCACTTCCCAACAGTCATAAAAAGATGTCCACCTATCTACTGCAGTAGAACTGCTTAGGGACAAGGTACAAATTTAAAATTCTATCAAAACCAAACAGACTGGTTTGGCAAAAGTCCATGTTGTGACATGCCATGCTGCACAACCAGTGGTGGCTCTACAATGCCACCTCATCTCTCTGAAAAGATATAATTTATAGAATAGTCTATAGACGCAAGCCAATATAATCTTAGATACAAGTTGCCCATTAATTTCAGTGCACTTAAGCATCATCTGATGCCAGCCCAACAGGGCGTTTCACTGTTCTAAGACCATGGACACCAATGCATTTACAACGGTGTAACGCTACTTAGGCTGGTAGTGTAAATCTTTCTTTCCACCACAGTTTTACAGCTGGTTAATTATTATGTTGAATGGCAACCTAAAAACATGGTGCTTTGCAGAGGAACTTTTTTTTGTTTATGTAGTCGTGACTATAGTACTTTGATATAACATTATAACAAAGGTAATGTGAGATATAAATGGACTGCAGTGACACGTGGACCTGCCTAGACAAAGTGTAGGCAGCAATGCTGCACGGATTTAATGGAGCATAAAACCTGATGCAAGGAGTTTAAAGATTTTGAATGTAATTCAGTTACAATTCCACAGCCAATAGACTGTGTTCTACCTGAGAATAGAATATCTGTGGGGTAATGAGTGACAGTCTTGCTGTGAGGCTTCCCTTATAATTTCTGTTCCAGCTGGAAATTCTTTGAAGAGATGATTGAACCATACCGCCTTCATGAAAGCTGCAAAGATTTAACAACTGCTGAGAAATTAAAAAGAGAGGCTCCATGGAAAATCACTGATGCAGAGCTGGAAGCATTCAAGGAGAAGGTAAAGCTTTACTGCTATTACTTTTGACACTGTGCGCTGGTTAGCTGAAAAAGAAAATAGCACATATGTAATCCGAGAATAGTTAAGGCAAATCTGGTGGGTTACAAAGAAAAGGGAGAATGTGAAATTCACTGGCTTTCAGGAAATTTGGCAATTAGTTCCTCACATGGCAAACTTCAGAAAGGAAGAGTGATATTTAGTTGAAACCATCATATAGTGCGGATGCGTGTATAACAGTATTACTAGAAAAAAATACCTGTAGACAATATTATTTATCTATAGCATTTGTCCACCATTTACTCTACCCAAGGGTACTCAGGGCAAGGTACAGCGTTTAACGTTAGTGCTCATGTTAGCATGTCCTGAGCTCCTTGTTTGAGTCAGAGCCTATACAAAGCAGTGAAGAATAAGAGATCAAATAGACAAGGGAGATATGTATGCTGCAAAGTTTTTGTATCAGTGTAACAGCTATGATTTCCCCTAAAGAAATTCAGGCATTGCAGTCTGCAGAGAGTGCTGAAAAGTATTTGATCCTATGTCCCCTTGACAGATCTGTTTCTTGGGGTTCCATGGGAATTCAAAATAGCCTTAAGAAGAAGGCTTACTCAGTTTTTGGTCTAATTTAAATCACAGTTGCACTTCCTCTGATTTGCCACCTAGTACCAAATTGAGGGTGGGGAGTGTGGCTGAAGTTTGCTGTTTGGTAGGAAAGTTCAGTTTGTATAAGGTATACTACAACAGACAGAGAAGAACAGATCAACTGATACATGTGGAATTGATTTCAGTGCTGAATTCTGAAAGTGTTTTGTATTAAGACCGGCCCCACACAAATTAAGCATCCAAAGTAGACCCATTGGAATTGATTTCAGTGCTGAATTCTGAAACAGTGTTTTCACACAAATTAAGCATCCAAAGTAGATCCAGTTATAGGCACATGCTAACCATATAAACCTCATTAGCAAACATAGGCTGCGGTCACACGGTCATTTTGATCGGGTTTCACCAATGTTCCCTCTTGCATTTAAAATTGCTGATCAGACAGCCGCATCCATCTCCCGCACTGAAGTGGGCTCAGTCATGCAATCCTCCTGGTTTCCTAGTAAGTTTTCCTACACCCGGAAAATCAAGTAGCTTCCGGATATTTGCGCTTTGAATCCAAGATTTCACCGATCTGGACAGCCATCTCTCGCAATGATCTTGATTAGGTCATATGAATGTCCTTCTTGCTATGGTGTTGTTTTTTTACAAGCTTCCATCGTTGTGCACATGAACAATCCTGCACTGAATAAATTCAATGTATAAACTTTCAAGCGTACATAGACTCCAGCACTCAGTTGTACGTCACCAGTTAATTTTGTTTGCTGTTTTTTTTTGGGGGGGGGACCTGCAAGAATAAGGGCGTATGGTGAGTCCCAGTGGGAGCAGTGATTCGGCCATGTGAATATGCACATGCACAAAACCATTAAAAAACAAACAAACAAGCCATGCCGCCCAAGCGGCAGTGCGGCTATCTGAACGGTGCCTGGAGCCTCACTGCGTGATGCAAGAGGTTCAGGGAGGGATGTATGGTCATCTCAACCCAAAAAAAATATTCCTGGTCAAAGCTACAGCTTGCCGTGTGACCACACCCATGCTCTGCTATCCAGGGGAAAGACCTATTTGAAGGTAAACTACATTTTATTTTGTATACAAATATACCTCTCTTAAGTAAGGGAGAAGTCCTTGCTACAAGTTCCAGTGGAAGCTACTAAACAGTTGATTTTCAGTAGGATCGTCAACAGGGGAGAGCATAAGATTAATTGTACGCACTCAAAAATTAATCCAGCCCTTTGGCACTTTGAGTTAGATTTATTTACATAATTATTGTACTTCATAGCCATCAGTATGTCATTATGCAGCAAACTGAAAATAAATTTTGTTGCATATTAATTAGACAGCAATAAGAGAAATCAGAATGCTTCATGTTTTCCCTAAGCTTCTTGCCCACAATCTGCTACCCGTATACTTTAGAGGCGTCACATTAAAATCAATAGTCTTATCTAAAGACAAGGCTGGTAAGTGCATAAGGGCCTTATGTGAAACAATGGTTTATCAAGAGGCATGCCAGTTTTAACATTTTCATGGTCAGTACACTCAGTCTCATTCATGTTAGCAGAAGCCACCCTTTATCCACTGTGTTCTGATTTTTGTTGTTTGTTTGTTTTACATTTAAATAGAGCTACCGCCAGGTCCATTTGAACGAACTCCTACAAGAACACTCTAGGGCTGCTAATCTTGTTGTTCTGTAAGTTTACCAAATTTTAAACCTGCATGAGCTTTAGCAGTTTATTGCAGTTCAGAGTCCCAAGGGCCTGGAATTTAAAGCCCTTCAGAGGAAGGAAAGCAAAGCACAGGCTCGCTAGATAAGATTATGTTACTACTTAATTATTTTCATAAATATACATTTTTATCTGAGCAGGTAGAAAGTGAAAAGGGTACTTTAAAATGATGCTGCCTCTTGTGACAACTTCAAATCATACCCAGGGCTAGAAATATTTGATTCCATGATGTTCAAGCACCTAGAAGTGATACGTTTTAGCACCCATGAATTTTGAGGGGAATATTAGTACAGCTCAGACTTATTTACTGATATAGTAGTAATACATTCTCTTCCATTCAACAGGAGCCTTCCAGTGGCAAGAAAAGGAACTGTATCTGATCTCCTCTATATGGCTTGGTTAGAAATTCTCTCAAAGAATCTGCCTCCAGTTTTACTCATCAGAGGCAACCACAAAAATGTTCTAACATTTTATTCTTAGCAAGCAACACCTGGAATGCAGCATATGCAGTCTGCTCACAAAAATGATGCCACACTACGAAAATGCCACAGGGCATCAGCACCTCAGCTTTGGACAAACTCGAATACCCTAGATGCTGAAAAAACATTTTAGTGTTACTACCCCATAACTCCTGTGATCCTAAAATCAGGGGTCTTGTTGTAGAAAAAGAGCTGCCGGAGCTCATTAGCATAACTCATTAGCATAACTTATTTGCATATGCCACGCCCCCTGACATCACCGGAAGTGTGTCAGAAGGCCACACCCCCTGACATCTCCTAAAATCATAATATTGCAGTACAAGTACTCAATAATGAACATACAATATGTATCCATCCTATTCAGTGACAATAACTGTGGACTGAAATTTCAGTTATGTAGATCCACAGGCCACAAATAAAGTACACATAAACAGACTCATTTCAACAGGTTAAATAATCACCTGTTGGACTGTGACTACATTGAGGTAAAAAAACTATCTATAAATTTTATTAATAAAAATATGAAGAGCTATTTTAGAACAGTCCATAATAGTTTCCCCATGTTCCTTGTGTGCTAGACTAGGACCCAAGACAAGACCTTAACTGGAGCCACAGAAGCAGACAGAAGTCACTCGTGATAGGATCTAGTTGCCTGTGCCCCACCAGACAGCCATTAAAGGGAATGGCACTTGATCACTCTGCCAATTGTCTCCCTTATTAAAGCCCCAGGAAGTCCCACACACTTCCCTCCCAGCCAGCTGCATCATTTGGTGGCTTGCCAGTAATATCTGATTGCTTGTTATTTTTCCAGTTAATATTATTGACATCCACCTTAATGACAGCAGCACAGCTTTAGTTTATTATGGTAGCAGTGGCTAGAAGGGAGAAAGGGATACTGGGCATGCTTGGTGCAGTATTTGCAAGGCAGGACACTGTCTTGATGGGGTGCTGTAGTGGAGTACTCACTACTCTCTTCCATTGTGGGGGTCTTCATTTGCTAACTCACAATAGAAACATGTCTTAACCATCAGTGGCTGTTACTGAAGAGCACCAATGTTGCGGAGCAAGTTGTGACAGCATTATACAATGGATGCCAACTACTTTGTTCCTACAGAGCTCCTGTGATTTTGAAAGTAGCACAACAAAGGAAAAGGTGCAGCTTTCCCCATTGGCACAGCTCCATGTTACATCTCCTGCGCATGCACTTTTAGCAAGCTTGCTAGGGCTCTCTGTTCACCCTTATCTGCATCAGTTTTATGAGCATAACCTTCTACTGGCACAGGGAGCAAGATCAATGCCCCCAAGAGAGAGTGAGCACAGGATCTGAAGTTGAACTATGCTAACCACTCCTCCAGTTCTCCCACACCATGCCCCAAACCCCGCCTATTTTTCCTTCTTGTACTGGTGTTTCGCTTCTGCTGGTCCAGGCTTCCTCCAGTGCAACAGCTTCACTTCACCAACAGGCTTCTGTGTTCTGTTGGTTCTGGAGATTTGGTTGCAATTTGACTTTTATCTTACTGGTGTGATACAAGAGTTAGGATCACATCACAACTTAATGTAGATTGAAATGAATTGTTGAAATACTGTATGGCAATATACCGCAATCATATTTAATTGCTATATAGAGAGTTTTCAAAGTAAAATTAATGAACACTAAATTAACATTTCCTAAGATTTCATCTGAACACTGTCATTTCTCTAGGGTTATTATTTCAATAAATGTAATGTAATTTTTGGTAATTTGTCATAGGGTCTTTTAATAAACTTGGTATTAGTTTTTAATGTTTGTTTTAATCTTTTTTGATTGGATAAGTATTTTAATTGTTGGGTTTGCCATCACTATGTTGAGCATTTAAACATTAAATAAACTGAAGTGAATCAAAAGCTCTGCTCATCAGTATTGTCCTTATTTCACATTTTGCATCCTGTCGATTTCAGATCGTATTGAAATTAAGATATTCTCAAGTTTACTAATTAAACATATTTTGCCATACAACAGATGTACTTGATTAATGTTACAGATGAGTATTTATTCTGTAAAGGTAAAGGTTCCCTTGCTCGAAAGCCAGTCGAATCCGACTCTAGGGTTGCGGTGCTCATCTCCGTTTCAAAGCCGAAGAGCCAGCGCTGTCCGAAGACGTTTCCGTGGTCATGTGGCCGGCATGACTAAACACCAAGGCGCACGGAACGCTGTTACCTTCCCACCGAAGTGGTACCTATTTATCTACTTGCAATTTCTTGCTTTCGAACTGCTAGGTTGGCAGGAGCTGGAACTAGAGATGGGAGCTCACTCCATCATGCGGCACCCGGGTCTCGAACTGCTGAACTACTGACCTTCCACAGCCTGCAGTTCAGCGTCTTAACCACTTGAGCCACCGCAGTACCTATTTATTCTGTAGGAGCTTTCTTATAGCCAGAAACAATTATTGTCCTTGTAGAAGCATCATAGAGGTGGCCTTGTTCTTACAGCAAAGAACATCCTGTCTTCTCTAATAACACACCAATAGCCCTTCTGAACTCTGCTACTAGCAATGTGCCTTTTCACCCTCATGTTTGGCATTACCATTTGACGATGTGATGGAAATGGCCTGTACTGGCTGGAGTTCTGAAAGGGGTGAACTTAACTTGACCAGACACATCTCTCCTATAGCAAAGCCTCAGCCACTGCCACCTCCCCAGCAGCTATGTAGGAATTATGTCTCACACAGGTAGACAGCTGTGAATACTCTGTCACATAGGATTCATACACACAAGCCCTTGTCCTTCATTTACATGAGTTCTGAATTTGATTAGGATCGTATTTTTCCTTTCACAGGATTCAGTGGTTATCTCTGCAACCAAATAAGTTTGGCTATAACTGCATACTTTGATTCTTCTGGATTCTTCTGTGTTTGGGACTTTACCTTTTGAGAGCACTGCACTTTTGAGAGCATTATTACTTAAGAGGCATCCATCAATCTGTGCTTTGTTTCTGATCACAGTGTTCTGATTTGCCCTAAGCTAAGATACTTTGATTCTTCTGGATTCTTCTGTGTTTGGGACTTTACCTTTTGAGAGCACTACACTTTTGAGAGCATTATTACTTAAAAGAGGCATCCATCAATCTGTGTTTCTGAACACAGTGTTCTGATTTGCCCTAAGCTAAAACAAGCAAGGAAAGTTGTTATTTGTGCATACTTGAAAGCATACCCTTTGTTATTATCAAAAATATTTACTGAGGGTCTCACAATCCAAAGTTCTTGAGGTGGTTAACGAAATGAAGCATAAAACCATAACACAAGTGATAAAAGAGATTGAAAGCTTATACCCTGAAGCTCTTGTTGGTCTCTAAGGTGCTACTGGACTCAAATCTGACAAGAGATAAAGTGACAGATCAAAATGACACTAAAAATCTCCCAATGGAGTACTAAAAATAACCACTAAACTAATACCAATACTCAGTATTCGTATATTCTGAGAATTCAAGGTTAAAATAAACAGGAGTGTGGCATCAAAGACTAACTAGATTTTATTCCAGTGTAAACTCTCACTGGTTAGAATTTACTTCATCAGGTACATTGAGAGGTAATAATCAGGTAATCATTTTGCAGACAAATTTACAGTCATAATTGTGGTGGTACAAGAAGGGTTGCCAGCTTGGGAAATTCCAAATTTTTTTTGGGGGGGGGGGTGGAGCCTGGGAAGGGAGTTCCATAGAGATATGGTTCAATTGCACCTATGCTCTTAAAGCTGCCATTTCCTTTAGGGGAACTGATCTCTCTAAGCATGGAGATGATTTGTGATTCCAGGAGAACCCCAGGCCCCACTGAAGAGGATGGCAACCCCAGGTGGGGAGGTGGAATGATAGGCTGAACATTTTTGCTGATATATACACTGTATATTTTACTGTAGGATTTTAACTGCTAGTTATTTATTGTATCGTCCTTTCTGTTGTTAAGCCGCCCTGAGCCCTGCTTGCAGGGAAGGGCGGCCTAAAAATTTAATCAAATAAATATTTAGCACACTTTGCAGTTCGAAAGCAAGAAATTGCAAGTAAATAGGTACCACTGCGGTGGGAAGATAACAGCGTTCCGTGTGCCTTGGCATCTAGTCATGCCAGCCACATGACAATGGAAATGTCTTTGAACAGCGCTGGCTCTTCGGCTTGGAAACGGAGATGAGCACCACAACCCTAGAGTCGGATTCGACTGGCTTTCGAGCAAGGGAAACCTATCATACGAGTTTAGGGTGGAACAAGGGCCAGTTTGGTGTAGTGGTTAAGTGCATGGACTCTAATCCGAGAGAACTGGGTTTCATTCCCCACTCCTCCACTTGCAGCTGCTGGATGACCTTGGGCAAGCCTGGCAGAGCTGTTCTTGAAAGAGGTCTATCAGCCCCACCTACCTCATAGGGTGTCTGTTGTGGGGAGAAGGGAATGGAAGCCGCTCTGAGACGCCGAGTAAAGGGTGAAGTATAGGGCCAGAGTATTTTCGGTGGCGGCTCCTACCTGGTGGAACGAGCTCCCAGAGGAGATCCGGGACCTTGTGCAGTTCCGCAGGGCCTGTAAGACAGAGCTCTTCCACCTGGCCTTTGAGTAGGAGCCACCGCCACCACTATTCCACCATTGTGGCATTGTCCTACTGTTGTTTCCACCATATAGGGCAACTATTGCCTGGCAGAATGCACGTAGAACAGTGCTACTGGAGACCACGCTAGAGACAGCTGACTGCCGCACTGGGTTCATTGATCCCGTCTTGGGTGATTTATATGTAGGAAGACTAGAGCACTTTAAATATTGTATGGTTTTATTGTGTGTTTTAATGTGGTTTTGTTTTATTGTATTTTATCTATTTAATGCGGCTTTTGCCATATGTTAGCAGCCCTGAGCTGTTGGGAGGATGGGATATAAATCTAAAAATAAATAAATATAAATAAAATCCAATCTCTTCTTCTTCTTTCCCCCCCTACATATGACCTTGTTGCAATCCTTACAACAACCCCATCAGGTAGGCCAGAATTGTTTACCCTGGTATTGCAGATTTACTGGAAAAGGGGCAAGTCCAAGCTCCAATGGAATCCATTTTATAGGGAACACTGCGCTACAAGAGGGGTTTGCGTGGCCGAGGTGAAAGCTTTCCTCACAGCTAACAACCCCGTTTTGTGCAGATTCAGCTGGTCCTCATCCCAACCTATTTAATATAGATCAAGATGGGTAGCTGTGTTAGTCTGTCTGTAGCAGTAGAAAAGAGCAAGGGTCCAGTAGCACCTGAAAGACTAACAAAATTTGTGGCAGGGTATGACCTTTTGTGAGTCACTGCTCACTTCTTCAGATACAGCTAGAATGGGAGTCCATCTGTCCTATTTATTGGAAAGTGGAGTGATTTCAGATGCTGAATGACATTAGCAAGTGAATTACCAAAGCAGGCATGATTGGATTTAGGTGAGATATGTAGAGGGGTAATAGGCATGGAGAAATCAGCATTGGTTACGAGACAAGAAACCTAGATCTCAATTCAGTCCAGGAGGATGCATTGTCTTGAGCTTCATTATCCCTTGCAATTCAGCAGTCTCCTTTTGAAGTTCCTTTGTAAGAGAACTGCTGCTCTTAGGTCCAGGACTGCTGACCTCAGAGCAGCAGTTCTCTTACAAAGCAATTCACCTGCTATTGTCATTTGCCTGCTAATGTCATTGGGCATCTGAAATCACGCCACTTTCCAATATACAGGTCAGATGGGACTCCCATTCAAGCTGTATCTGAGGGACTCACGAAAGCTCCAACCCCGCCACCAATTCTGTTAGTCTTCCAGGTGCTCCTGGACTTTGGCTCTTCTCTATTTCATGGAGGGCGGTTCTACCGGTTCACTCGCTGAGCTCATTTCCTTAGCCGCTCCCTCTGGCGCCCGAGAGCCGATGCGGCACGGCAGGAGGAGAGTCTGGTTTACGTCCAGCCCCAGATGGGAGGGCAGAAAACCCGACCGCTCCGCCAACGCGGCCATCTTGCGGCTCGCGTTATAAAATGCCCCTATGAGAGGAAGGGGAGCGGAGGCGAGGCGCTTGGACAGCAACGACGCGTCATGTTGCGCTACCTCAGGAGGCTACTCACAGGCGGTAAGGAACCGGGCAGGGGGAAACCGGCCGTTTATTCCGTTGCTCCGCCCCCCAGTTTAAACCGCCGGCGGCGGCGTGAGGGCCCTAGTGGGACGACCATCCCTCGCACGTATGGACCAATCGCCGCTCTCCAATCACTCCTCCCCTTTTTTAGGAGAATGGATTTTCCCACACTGAAGACAAAAAAACATAAAGATGTCTGTTCCTGCCGGGGGGGGGGGGGGGTGTGTGCGTGTGGGCGGGAAAAAAAAAAGAAACACTGTAATTTGTTTTTAAATGGGTTTTGAATTGTGAAAACGGAGCGGAGCAACGGAGCAGGGTGATATTCGCCGAAGGATTTAGCCGCGCTTTCTTATCTCTCCCTTCCCCGTTCCTGGTAGAGTGGATTTCCCCACCAAGCCTTCTCTAAATGGGCATTCCGGGCAATACTACTCCTTTGCTGGGGGGGGGGGGATAGGGAGAAAGAAAGGCAATCAAACTGTTATTTAATTGGGCTTTGATCGGGGCGACAGACTAGTAGTTTAGCGATTTGTTTTACTTCGAGGAGGAGGCGGAGGATCTTCGCGCCTTCCTCCTCCTCCTCCTCCGTTCCGGTCCCTCCCCTTGAGTTAAACGGGAGGGCGCGAACAGAAGCGCGGGGGAAGGGGATTCGCGCGCTTTCGCTCTCCGTCTCTCCTCCGACCTAACCGCCTTTCCCGCCTTCTCTGCCCCCGGCCGCGGCCATGCCCTGCTCCGAAGCGACCCCCGCCTCGCCCCCCAGCAAGAGGCCCAGGAGCACCGGCCCCGAGGAGCCCGCCTTGAGACTCCGCTTCGCCAAGCTCTCCGAGAACGCCCTCGCGCCCTCCAGGGGCTCCTCCCGGGCGGCCGGCTACGACTTGTACAGGTGAGGCGGCAGGTAACAGGTGAGGGCTGCGAGGTCTCCCGGGGTTGCAGCTGATCTCCAGACCTGACAGAGGAAAGGGCTGCTGTGGAGGGCTCTGGTATGCAGCCTTGCGGCGCAGAGGAAGGCTCCCCTCCAGCGTTCCCTCTCAGCTGAGTTAGCGTGAGCCAGCTCACAGTTTTTCAGCCTCCGGCTCACACGTTTTTGTCTTCGCTCAGGAAGGAGGGCTCCTCCAGAGCCAATTGATTCATGCAGCAGCCAGATCGCTGGCTCACAACTTTAGTGGCAGTAGCTCACAAAGTAGGATTTTTGCTCACAAGACTCCACAGCCTTGGGGGGAACATTGCAGGGCTCTTGTGGCCAGTTGCAGTCCTTTGGGAGAAATAAGCAGGAGCTTGTAGGGATGCCAGCCTCCAGGTGGGGGACCTGGAGATCCCCCAGAATTACAGCTCATCTCCAGGCTGCAGAGATCAAGTCCCCTGGAGGAAATGGATGCTTTGGAGGGGGGGGCTGCTGTATGGGCTTGTACCCTACAGAGGTCCTTGTTCTCTCTGGGCACCCTCCTCCCAGTGACCAGGGGGGACCTGACAACCCTAAGCCTGGCACATGGCAGCACTTCTCTTTAGGTGTGCCATAAAGTCCAGCGTCAACTTGGGTGTGTTTGTGCTGCAGTGAACATAGGGTTGGTTGCCAATGTCCAGGTCGGTTGAAAGGAAGCAGACCACTGTGATGTATAGTGCCAAAACAAAGGTTTCTCCACCAACTTGTAAATTCTTTTTTCAGTATTCCGTTTGTTGAAAAAAGAATTTACAAGTTAGTGAAGAACCCTTTTTGGGGGCCACTATACATCACGGTTGTTTGCTTCCTTTCCGCTATCATCCTGTGATCTCTCTCTTTGGTTTGCAGTGCCCAGGTTGGGCCTGGAGTTCTCCCAGAATTGCAAACTGAGGCCCCGGTCACACGTAAGGGTTTGGGCCGGGAGAGGGACAGATCGGGGGCGCAGCAAACGGGCGTGATCGCACCGCAACATCTGGGAAGTGGCACGCACCCGTACCTGATCCGGCCCTTCAGGCCGAAAACCCACTGCAAGAAAGAACCACCCCTAGAGGTGGACTTACCAGAACGGCCATGGGATCGCCGGTGCGTCCTTCTGCCGGCGCATCCGAGGCTCCTGGCCGAATTGCGCATGCTTACACATGCGCAGTTCGGCAGCCTCCCTCTCTGTTTTGTGGCTTTCTTCCCGGCATCTGATCATGCCGGGGAGCAAGTGCGCGGCGGCTCATGGGATCTGTGTGATCCCGGCGCCGCGTGCCTATTTTGGTGCGGCTTTCAAAAGCCGCACTTTGCCTGTGCATTGCCCCCCCCCCCCATCCCCTGCTGGTGGTCAGGAGGGACCTGGCAATCAGATCTAGCAGCAGATGTTTCCTAAGTAGGGATGCTGACTTCCAGGTGGGTTCTGGAGATCCCCTGGAGTGACTGCTGATCTCCAGACTAGAGATCCATTCCCCTGGAGGGTGGACTCTATGGCATTATTCCGGGCTGAGGCCCCTTCCCTCCCCAGGTGGCACCTCCAGAATTTGCCCACCCAGAGTTGGCAACCCTACTTCTAGGGAGACGTATGAGGGTTATTTTATTTAGCTATTTCTCGTTCGCATGGGAAGCCAAAGCACCTTGCTACATCATTCTCTCCCCCATATTTCCCTAACAACAACTCTGATGTAGTCAGCTCCACTGTACTAAACTGCCACCTTGTTGACCCCCTAACAAAAATTCTCTGGCTATGGGCCTGCTCCTGCCTACAAACCCCACCCTACCCAGCCTTCACCCTCCAGATCTCCAGGTATTTCATAAGCAGGAGTTGGCAACCTTAAGTCACACACACTCATGCAACACAGGCTGAATATTGCCGTCCCTTGCCTAGAACCTGCTGCAATGGTTTCTGTTTTGGGGTGCTCTTTTTAATTTTTTTATAAAGCCCCGCACAGATAGAAAAACACAGAGAAAGAGGGTCTGCCCTAGGTTTGCCAATTAAAAGTTTGGGGAGGAACCTCAGTGGGGTACAACACCACGACTTCCAGCCCTCCAAAGTAGCCGTTTTCTCCAGGGAAACTAATCTCTATAGTCTGGAGATCAATTATAATTCCAGGAGATTTCCAGACTCTGCCTGGAGGCTGGCAAGCCTAGTCTGCCCCCTTCTTGCTTACTTTCTGGATGCAAAGAGTTCTTAAAATAGAGCAACATTCCAAGCCACAAGTCTCTGCCTGCAAACTGAAGGCCAATTCAATATCACACAAAATCCCCACAATTCCTGCAAGGTGAGATAGGAGTTCTGTGCGTGTCTGAAACATGTGAGCCTGAGTTTAATTGTCTAAAAGCCTGTATAGACAAACTTGTTAGAAAACAGTTATGGATCACAGCAACCATGCATGAACCTTCCATGTCCTGCAGTTGCATCAGATGGGAATTGGGTCTTTGTGCATGTGGAAGGCACAGAATTCCCATTGCATATCCAATACAAATTACTTGCGGTGGCTCTGTGAATTGATCCTGAATGAGTGCAGTCCCTTCTATTGCGTCCTTGAAGCCGATCTTGCACCTTGCCAGGTAGCAGACATGAAATCATTGGGGCTTAGAACCTGCCTGGGACAGACTGGATGGCTGTGGAACAAGAAGTGCTGAAAGGCTATGTAACACAGTGGGCTTCAACCTTGGCAGACCTGGGACCCGCCCACCTGCAAACATATGACAAGCAAAGTGACATCTGAGTCAGGTGATAGGAAGAGGGGAGCCAGAATTATGATATCACTGGTTTTAAGACTAGTACCATGGACAAGACAGGGTAGCAAACAAAAGCCAAGCATCAGAGAGGTACTCCATGGTGAGGAAGAAGCCCCAGTTCAGAGGCACGGAGGAAACTTCTCCACCTCTGAGGACCTCACCTACCTGTCCTGCTTCTCAGGTGCATGCGAAGGGAGGTGGGGAGTACACTTGATCTCTGTGCATGCTGGCTAGCAGCGGGTTCTTTTAAATGGTGGCAGAAACATGGCCTGTAGATAGAGGCTGATGACTTAGTAGGTGTCCCATTTGATGTCCATTCTAAGCCTTTGAAAGTACTTGAATACGTGTTAGTGAAAAGGCCTTTAACTTTTCTAGAAAGACTAATATGCCCATTTATGGTAGTAAAAGATTGTTAATCTAGTGTGCATTCATTTTCGTTCACTGACATCTGTTGTGTTATATCAGAAAAAAAGACACTGGCTGCCATGCTAACTAAATGAAATTTCCTCCCGTTTTCAGAAACAATATAAAGGCCAGATGCTGGAGAGAAAGCAGTGAAGGCTGTTGCTTTTATTACAGGTGATGAGCCTGCAAATGCGTCTGGTTGATCATGGCTAGAAACAGAATGCTGAATTAGAAGAACCTGGGTCTCCTCATCATGTTCTTAATGCAGTAACATCATTTTGCTTGCTTCTTTTTTTTAGTGCCTATGACTGTGAAATTCTTCCTTTGGGAAAGGCTGTAGTAAAAACAGATATTCAGATCTCTCTTCCTTCTGGATGCTACGGCAGAGTAGGTAAGTTGTGGAAAGGGGAAGCTTCTAACCTTGTTCCCTGGCTTCTCTCTCATGAAAACTGCAGAATCCTAATAACTCACCATATATACCATTTCCTGGAAGTCACTGTAAAAGTCTGATCCTACCAGAGTACATTTGCTCTAAATAACTCCCCGTTTCTAAGTGACCATTCATGGGATCACAGCCTAAGGCAACTTTCTATCAGCCATTTGTAAAGCTGTGTTTAAAAGGTGGATGGTGGAATAAATTTCTGCAGTGGTGTAGGCCAGATTTGGAATATCTTCTTAGACTCCTCTTGCTTACTGAAGCTCACTTTCTGTTTGTTTAGATAGGAAGTTCTAATAACTGTACCAGTCCTAAAAATGTTCTGGGTCAGTAAATGTGGCAGTTTTTAAACTACATTCTAAACCGTATAAGTGCACTACATGAATATGTACATTTTGCAACAATAAATTGGTGGCTTAAAAAGACAAACAAACTTAAACTTGTTTCCACTTTTTAAATTTAGCTCCACGGTCCGGCTTAGCTGCAAATCACTTCATAGATGTTGGTGGTAAGTGTTCTGTGTCATTAGTTTGTGATAAAATTAGGCTGAAACTCATCTGATTTTCTGTAGATGTGTAGCTTATTACAAGTTTGCGTACTTCGTGTATAAGAACTGCATATATGCCAGTCTTGCGACCCTAGGTTTTTAGTGAAGCATACTTCACTAAACAGATTCCTCTAATCAAAGCTGTTAGATTAGATTTTAAGATACTCATAATTATTAGAGAAGAAGCTGACCTTGAGCATTATGGGCTATTTAATATGGGCTATTAAATAGCAGTAGAAAAAAATATTACACAAACTTATCAAACTGTGTTTGTCTAACTCGGTGGTTTGCAATTCCCCTGAGGGAATACTTCCTTTTTGTCTTAGCAACTCTGCATGCCCGTGGAGCATTTACATATTGAACAGGATTTCAGTATGGCCTAAACTTGGCTCTGAGCACTGGCCAGGCATTTGGAGTCCCAGTTCTGTCCTATGTGAATTGAGAAGTTGCCACAGACCACACCCAACACTCTCTCAGTTTTGAGTATACTGCCTTTTAGGGAAGCTTGTCTGCTTATATGCCTGAAAATCACTATACCAGGTTTCATGTTAGGTCAGTATGCTCATCTATTCTCTCTTGTGGGTTTGAACAAGCAGCAAGATCTGCCCTAGAAAAAATATTTGTAGCATCTAATATGCATTAAAAGATGCTACATGCACTATAGTAAATTGGTTACTTATGTATTGGAAAAGATTATTTTTTGACCTGCATGCTTAAAACCATTCAACATCTTTTCAAAAGTTGTCTTGCAGAGCAGTGGCTGACAGGACATAAAACACAAGTGAAAACCGATCTATGATTTGGATGATGCTGTGGGTGTAAATTTGTGGTTTTCCTTGTAATTCTGTAGTGCATCATAAAAAAGCACAATTCATAATGAAGAAAATCTACTTTCAAGAAAAAAATTATCTCTGAAATCCCATGCTGGAAACAGTGCATCAAGGAAAGTTGGAAACATGTAGAAATCTGTTCTGTAAAGTGCTGAAAGCTTTCTTGCAAGTCAAATGCCAAAGTTCTGTCAGGTTTTCTGCCTGCCATCTGTACTTTCCATTGCCAGTTCCTGTGCATGATTTTTCCAAGTATCATTTAGATGTTTTCTACCCAAAGTACATTATATGCATGTAGCAAATTAAGAGCGATAATTATTTTATTTATATATTTATGTCAGTCATACCCTGCCTTTCTCTCATTAAAACCAAATATAATATGGAGCCTACTGTACTGTTAAACTGGTTCTGTGAACACTGATCCATTTTTAAAGTCAGAACATTTAAAATAATTCCTGTTTATTTATAGACTGCTTTCCCCTCCCAATAGGGACCCATTAGGGGGTTACAATAAAAAAATACTTGCCTTTCTAGAGGCAAGTCAGGGACATCTTAAGTCTGCTCTTTTTTCATCTTGCTATCCTCTCCTCCATTAAGTGGAGAACAACCATTTGTTACATACTATACTGCTAAGATGCTGTTCTCCATTGACTTAGCGCTGTGCTGTGGGGGTTTTTTAGACACAGCCCATTTGATTGCTCTAGTACTAGCACTATCTTATCCTAGCTTTTTTGATAATGTTTTCTTATTACAGTAATTACATGATACATGATCCTGGGACTCTGCTGGGTTTACAGGCGTTAGAATTTTCTGATCCTGCTGAATTGTAGCATCTACAATAAATTAGGCCTCTGTCTCTGGAGTTTACATTCTCTAATGAAGTCAGATGAAATTTTGATGTCTGCTAAACTGCAGCCATGAAATTAAAAGACGCCTGCTCCTTGGGAGGAAAGTGATGGCAAACCTAGACAATATAATAAAAAGTAGAGACATTACACTGCCAACAAAAGTCTGCATAGTCAAAGCGATGGTATTCCCAGTAGTAATGTATGGCTGCGAGAGTTGGACCATAAGGAAGGCCAAGTGCTGAAGAATAGATGCTTTCAGATTATGGTGCTGTAGAAGACTCTTGAGAGTCCCTTGGACTACAAGGAGATCAAATCAGTCAATCCTAAAGGAAATCAAACCTGACTCTTCCCTGGAAGAACAGATACTGAAGCTGAAATACTTTGGCCACCAAATGAGAAGGGAGCACTCACTGGGGACCCTGATGCTGGGAAAGATTGAAGGTAACAGAAGAAGGGGACGGAAAAGGATGAGATGGTTAGACAGTGTTACTGATGCGACGAACATGGAAAATTGAGCAAACTCCGAAATACAGGAGGGCCTGGCGTGATGTGGTCCATTGGGTCGCAAAGAGTCAGACGACTGTGACTGAACAACAACAAAAACCTGAAGTAGTGGGTTTCCTTAAAGCCTTTCACAGTCTTGTTCTTATTCCTTGCCTCTCAACCAGCCTGCTCTGAGGCTTCTGTCCAGTGTACTTATTTTTCTGTGTCCCAATGGAACTTGAAACGCGTATGGCTTTTGATAACATTTCTGGCACTACATTCTGTATACTACTACATTAATGGTTTTGTACTACAAAATCTCATTGCAGTGTTAAGTTTCTGATAATAGCTGTCATTACGCAGCAATGAGGAGTGTCAGAACAGCCAGGGGCAATTTTTTTGTTTTGCATGACTTGCAAAAGAAAAGGAAGCCAATCATGTGTACTTCGCTTTTATCTTGTAATGTTATGAAATGGAGATATGGTCAAGTGCTGGCAGAAGATGGGGCTGAGGTAGGAAGACAGAGAGAGGTCTTTGGAAAACTCCTGAACAGGAGAGGCTTTGTACAACATGGAATTGCAAAACTGGCTTATACTGTGCAACAAAAATTTGTGTTGATTGAGATACAGCCTTTCCCATGTCAAAAATGGCATTTGGCAATCAGCTCTTAGTGAAGCAAAAAACCAAACAAAAAAACCACTATGGCCCTTATCCACTGAGATGTCTTATATGTGTTCACATTCTTAACTACTGTATATTGTGAAGTAAAAGGAAAGTTTTGGGGTAAGATTCTAAACAAGGACAGCCTTTCAAAAATATTGGGGCTTGTTTAAAAGTAAATATGTTTATAAAACAAAGCAGTGACTCCACAGCAAAATCATCAACTGGTTTAATTGTTGAAATCTGATCCAAAATAATACCAACACCTGTTTAAAAACAGGAATTTGGTGGTTGGAGCTCCTTTTAGTATTTTATTACTGTTCCAGTAATCATTCTTGCAAATCATTACACGAGGTTTGGCTTAAGGGTAGTTGTCTTGGTTCAGCTGCTATCAGCTCAGTGAAGTGAACATTTGCAATCATATTCAGTTAGCTGGTTTGCTTGGACAGCACTATAGCTAGGGATGGGGATAAACCGAACCACGAAACAAAATTCGTCACAAACTTTGCCCTGTTCATAGTTTGCGAACAGAAGTTCATGATAGGTCTACTGTCACAAACTTCCATGAACTTTTAAAGCAGCTCTTGGTGGTTTGTGGATGGAGCAGAAAGCAGGATTTTAAAGGGACTCCCTTTAAATTTTGGCTTTCTGTTCCCTGTGAAAGCCATAAAAACAGCTGAGTGGCTGGGAGGCAGTCCTTTCCAACAGGTTTGTAGGGCCAGGAACCAGTTTGGTTAATGAACAAACCTCCTGGCACAAACCAAAGTGCATTTCCCGGTTTGTGCCCATCCCTATCGAAGCAAGTTACCTTATTTTTGTACATCTGCTAGAATGAAAACATAAACTATCACTCCGAACTAGTCTGTGTTTTGCTTTGTGAAGTAGATGTTTTGTGCTGTATAGGAATGGACCATTAGCTAAAAACTTCCAGTCTCCAGTGATTACGAGCGTTACAGTCCTATTGAAACAGGTCTGATATGACTTCGGTGTGCATCCGGAAGCCGTGTCTCATTCCAGTATTCCTAGATGTGCAAACAAAGGTGTAGTCCATTAGTAACAGATGTGAATATCTAAAGAAAAACACCCACCATTAACTTTTACTTATTTTGCTGTTTTTTTTATAGCTGGGGTTATTGATGAGGATTACCGAGGAAATGTTGGTGTAGTACTGTTCAATTTCGGAAACGAAACTTTTAAAGGTAAGAATTAAACTTGGTGACGCTAAGCCAACTTGAATGGACCTAGTGGATCTTGAATGGATCTTCCCTTCTGTCCATTTTAGAACCATGGATCTAGTGATACATTAAGTTACCCGTAAAAAGTCCTTTTATCTCTGTAAAAGATCTACTGAAACATGAGATGCTGCTTTGAGCTTCTAGTTGTGACAGTGCTTTTCAGTTTTTGAGGTTCAAGTATGAAAAGGGGTTGAGAAGTTAGTGTAGCTTATGTTTTACATTGCTGTTTCCTGGAGTTTAAGGAGTATCTGCTGAGGAAAAGGAATAGTATAGTTGCTCTGTATTTGAAGCTTCAGGCCTGCCTACCTTGCTGCATCACTGTTCTTTCCTCATTGGCCCAAAAGTGTTCAAAGGGATTAGGGAGTTCTTGTTGATTTGTAACTTTGTAGCCAGATTTCTTAAACGCTTATTTTGGTTTTAAAGTGAAAAGAGGGGACAGGATTGCCCAGCTGATTTGCGAACGCATCTACTATCCTGAACTTGAAGAAGTCCAGGTAAGAAACTTGGATCATATAAGGAGGGAGAAAATTTAATTACTCTACATAATTCATTTATTCTATACAGTTTATTTAAGATAACTTTCATTAATGAAGGAACTGATTCTTCCTAACAAAACCTGGAAAGAATAAAGCCCTACTTCTTCCTGAGTTACACTTTAGGTTGAAGTTGTTTTATAGATTAGTCATGGACACAAGCAGGAAATACATGGCGATAGTCTCTCCGAACTGTAGGATACAGTTTCAGAAATTCTAACCGTGAGTCATTTTCAGGTTTTGGACGACACAGAACGTGGCTCAGGAGGCTTTGGATCCACTGGCAAGAACTGAGGAAAGCTGTTACATGTAATGAATGACATACTGTGTTTTGTATAAGGCATTTTTTGTACAAATAAACTTTTGTTCAAGACTTGTTTTTTCTGTATAATGTTGCACAAGGGGAAGAACTCTTTTAGTCATATTTTGTACAAAGTAAAGCTTGTAACTGTCAAACCCAAGCTGGGATTTACTCCATACTGATGGCTACTCTGGATTGGGGGGGGGGGCTGTTTTACTTATTTTCCAGCGGCGTCTCACTGGTTCAAGGAGGGACTTAAATGAACAATATGTAATCCAGGCACCTGCCTTTCCAGGGCCCTCTCACCCTCTCCATGTAGTTGTGTCCATCACAGCAGCTGATCATCCTCAATAGTATTGAACCCGTAGCATGGGTAGTTTCCCCTCCTTTGCTGTGATCATGTGAAGTGAAAGCAGAGCCAACTGGAAAGAGGTGGGAGGGCAATGCATACCAACGCAGTTGCAGCCCATCTTGGAGTGCGCTTCTGTACACATTATCCTCCTTCTCATTGCACAATAATTCCATTTTGCAAACATGCAAGGCTTTTGCATTTACCCCATCGCCTTTTCCTGGATTTGTTCATCACCATTTTTTTATTATGAGAATCTAATCTTTACCCTATTCAATTTCTACAACCACGAACAGCCCAGCCAGCCTGTGAGAAGGCCACTCCTTGACCCTACCTACACCTTTTCTAAAGGGAGTGAGGAACGGAACACTAGATGGGCCACGACAGAATGAAGAGTCATTTTTCCTGCCAGTTAGTCCGTCCATCACAACTTTGTTTTGGAGTTGATGGGAATTATAATTTTCTTGGTGTCCCATGCTGAATCACAACATTGAGATGGCTACAGCCCCCATGAAACCGAACAGGAATTTGTGCTAGGGTAGTTTGTAAAGGTTAATATACAGGAGGTAGCATCAATTGAAAGAGTGATCTCTGGCCATTTATTGTTTTCCCACAGATATTCAAAGATAGGGAACAACTGGGGATCCTCCCCCTCCCCGGAGAATAGCGTATGTTTTACACAAATTGCAGAATCGGTCTCTTGATACTACCAAAAGCTCCCATTAAATTTGTAGTTACTCTGCTGTTCCAGTATTTCCAAGTCATCCCATCTCTTGTGCAAAGACGAAACTGTTAGCCCAAATAAACTTTAGCTTGATAACATCAGATAAATCTCTTTTTAGACAAAATAACACCCAAGGAGCTAATTGCATTGTATTTGCTTAAAGACCACCCAAGAACCTAAAACTAGCTGTGTGATCAGGCAAGGGTGAACAATTGGGAAGAACTGGAGGAAGTTTGGCAAGTAGCCAGAAAAGTCTCCCTCTGTGCCACTTGCAGGGGAAATGCCTTTAAGAGGCCATGTTAGAATAAAATACATCTAATAGCAACAGGTCTGCCAGGAAGGGTTATCAGCAGCAAAGAAACGAACACTGTTTTAAGATCCAAGGTTATTTATTACAGCACTGGTAAGAAATGGAGCTAGAAGACATGGGCTGTGTTCTGAAGTGTAAAAAAAATGCCCATTTACTCGCAAGATACAGCTTTACTTGCAAGCAAGCTACTTGTTTAGAACACTGGATTTCTGCAGATGATTATGGGTAGTATTTTATACCACCCGAGGACTTTCATCTGCAAAAAATTTTTGCAGACATGGAATATTAAGTAGGATGAGTTTGTTTTATAACTTGATTTGGTCCAATGCAAAAAAAAGTTAAAACATATGATGAAAACTTATTTTTAAAGTTAGTGCAAACGGCCTTGCTTATACTGTACCCTAATGGAGAAATCCCTATATGGCACACTGAAGCAGCCCGTGGATACTTGTGCAATGCTCACTTCCCTCCCTTTGCATTCCTCCTCACTGCATTTAGTGGCCTGGTTTGTTGGAGGCTGTTTGAAGAATCATACTACATACCTGGGAGGAATAAGCTTGTGAAATTCTTCCCCTCACCCTGATTTCCCTCTCCAAGATACCATAAAGCCTTTAAGGGGCTGCAAGGAGACATGGGATAGGCAAGAGTTCCTTTTTAAAATTTCTAAAATTAAAAGTGCCAAACCTTCCTTCTGACTTTGATAGGCGCTCAAAAGCTACTGTTGGAGGCCAAAATACTGATCATTGTTACCCTTTTTGAAATTGTGCCTTACCCCTTGCACATCAACAAGTCAAAAGCAAAAGGAGCCAACCAAGGATGCCTGTTGTGGTTACAAGTTACAACTGAGCACTTATAACCCATAATTCTATTTTAAGGAGAAAAGCTGAGCTCCTGTGAAGCAACAGCACAGATGTCCTGAGCGTTATGCATCTGTGCAGAGCTCATGCTTGAAGGAAAACTTCTTGGTGACTGTACCTTTGGGTGAAGCATTTCATTTCACAGCTTGTTTTTAACTTACCCTAAAAAGGAAGAGAAGCTGCAGAAGTCATGCCAGGGAAGATTTGAGAGAGCTCGGGCTGAACTTTTCCAAAAGGTGAATCAAAACACGGTGTGGAGAAACACACTTTCTAGCAACCCTCTTTTCTCAGTGGGTTCCCAGTGTTTCCTGCAGAACTAATCTAAGTAGAAAAAATGTTACTTAAGTCATTTAATTTCAGCATTCTGAACCATCCGGGAATAAACACTTGAGAAAGTGAACTAACCTTTTTATTAACAGGATTGAACGGTGTGCAATGAACATATGATAAGATCGAGAGGTTTCAATGCAAGGGGGCTGAACTGAACTAGCACTGGGATAGTAACGCTGCCCTTGCATGGCACAGCAAAAACTGAATGTGATTATATCTACAAGTCATGCTTTTTTAAAAACCCTAATTGGCAATTTTTTTTCTGATTCAAGGCAACACAACTTGTAGCCCACCAAGCCAGATTCCAGCCCACATACTGTGATGTGTGAGGAGCTTACATATTTATTTGCATTCTTAATAAAACAGTTTCAGAGGGTAACTGTTGGCCTACAGAAGAACAGATTTGAGTCCAGTAACAGTAGACTCAAAAGGGATCTTTCACACTCGAAAGCTTTTACCCTGAAACTTTGGCCTCTAAGGCACTACTGGACTTGAATTTAATAAAACGAGGCCAGTGGCACTTTTAGGGAGCTAGTGTGGTCTAATGGTTAGAGTGCCTGACTAGGATCTGGGAGATGTAGGCTGAAACCTCCAGGCTGCCCTGGAAGCTTTCTGGGGTGATCTTAGGCCGATTACACATCCACCGGTACCTCACAGGGCTGTTGTTAGGATAAAATGGAGTGTCATGGTGCACAGGCAGGCAGTGTTCTGAGGCGAGCAGGTAACTGAAGAGCATGGTCAGGGTCCATTCCAAGGGCCGAGCACCAGGTTAGAAAGCACAGAGCAGGTTAAAGGGCAATCCAAAGGCAGAGTCTAGCAGTCCAAGAGTTGAGCACAAGTGAGGTAGAGCAAATCCAAGAATCGTAATCCGGGGCAGTCCAAGAAGCCAATCAATCAATCAATAAACCTTTAATGGCATATACAACCTTAAAAATCAAAGACAGAAAATGACACAATCAACTAAAAGTCTAGGTTAATTATAAAATCATGAAACGGACTTTCCCAAATTTTTCACTCTCATCACATCAACAGAGTCTGGTTCAAGAGTCATCAGGATACAAGGCAGGTTCAGATGTAGTGGTCAGAGTAAATCAACTTGTTGCTTCCATACCTAACAGCCTCCCTTGGCTGGTTTTTATAGGCATATGCCTAAGGTTCCTGCTTGTAGCCTGCTGCTCGTGAGTAATCCTGCAACTACTCAAGCAGCTGGCATTGGGCCAGGAGGCAAGCACATTGTCATCTCTCCTGTAGCTCTTCTCAGTAGCCTCTGTCTGCGGCACTCTAAGGGTGTGGGTGATACTGGAGGGCTGTGAACGATTACTTAGTTTCACCTGTTGGCTCAGGGCTGGAGACTGTCCATGGCTCTGCACCAGCTGTTGGCTGTGAATCCCACAAGCCTGTAGTTTGTCTTCCTGCCTGCTGGCTTCTGCTGGCTAAGAGTTGCCTACATGAGTTTCCCTTCTCCTGAGGAGTCCTCATTGAGCCCTGGCTGATACATGATGAGGAGAGAACTAAGTAAGCTGCTTTGGATCCCCACTGGAGAAAAAGGTGGGGTAAAAATGAAGTGAATAAAATTAAACATAAAGAGTATTAAAGAAAAACAAAAATTATTCCAGCACAAACATTTATGAGATGTACCCGATGAAGCAAGATGTGACTCACAAAAGTTTTTGCTAGAATAAAACTTTCATTTTGCCACTTGACTGCCATAGCTACCTGCATCTGGAATTATTACATGCCTAATAAATGTTTTGGAGCTGCGGTAGATCAAGTGGTTAAGATGCTGAACTGCAGGCTGTGGAAGGTCAGTAGTTCAGCAGTTCGAGACCCGAGTGTGCCGCATGACGGAGCGAGCTCCCATCTCTAGTTCCAGCTCCTGCTAACCTAGCAGTTTGAAAGCAAGAAATTGCAAGTAGATAAATAGGTACCACTTTGGTGGGAAGGTAACAGAGTTCCGTGCACCTTGGTGGGAAAGGGAACCTTTACCTTTAATAAAAGTTTGGGGCAGCTTCCCACAAGACTAAAACTGGATTAAATACAACAAATAAACACTACAGGTTTCAAACAGTAACAGCAGAGACAAATGAATCTAGGGAATGGCAGTAAAATCATTAAAATATAAGCAGCTGAGCTAACAGCAATGTAAAAACATGTTTGCAATTCAAGGCAAACAGTCAGAATGGGAGACTTCTTAAGCCCCTGATGGGCTCAGCAGTGTTCAGTTAAGGTGGCTGCATCTGGATTCTGCAATCTGTACAGAGAAACTAGGCACTAAAATACCGGCTTTTGACCAGTGGAAATCTGGTCAAGGCCTCTCTGCCATCTGAAGATTCACAAGATGTTGCCCACAAATTTTCAAGTATACTTTCACCACTATGAGGGCTATAAGCTTTTTTTAAAGCATACCACTGAAATTCTCAGGAAGCCAAAATTCGATGGCCAGAACTATTTTTCTTTGTTTTTATAACATATTTCTGATATTCCTTATGCACCATTATGAAC